AGCCGGCCGCCTCGCGGCGCGGAGCCCCGGGCCCTCGGGCTCCGGGACAGGGGGAGGGAAGGGTCCCGGTCCCCACGCCTCGCACCCCGCCGAGCGCGCGTGGGGCTCCACTCCTCCCTCCTCCTTTCTTCTAAGGGCCCGAGCCCTCCTGGACGCCCCATGTCCACGAAGCTGGGGAGGGAAGGTTACTCCTGGACGGGGAGTGGGGGGGCAGAGGCTGGGACCGGCGCGGCTGGCCCCCGCCCTAGGGCGAGCTCGCTGGGAAAGGACCTCAGGACCTAGAGTGGAGGAATCCGCTTTCGCATCCCAACCCAGGAAGGAACCCGAGGCCCAGGTAAGGAGGAGTCCCCGCCAGCCAGCCTGGTGCATTTGCTCGGCCTGGGTGATTTTTAACCCAGGGAGCTGGAGGGACAGCAGCACCTTGGAGAACCAGCCAGGTTTCTGCGAGCTTCCTGTCGCTCAGACTTACAGGAAAGTGGCTTTGCTTGCTCCCGTATTTTGGTTTTTCTTTGTCTTGGTTTGGAGGAACTCTGTCTAGAATACGTTTGTTCTGGCCTAAGAAACTCCGCACAGAGGAGAAAATAGAAGAGCCGTGACATGGTTGAACTCCAAGGTCAGACAGAGTCGACCTGGGCCCTTCCCAGACCCCACCCTGGGAGCAGTCTAATGGCTAGTGCCCCTCTGCCATCAGATTGTAGACAACCGGAGGGAGGCCGAGAGAGTTCTCCCAGGAAGGGTGTGAGGCTAGGCTAGGTTTCTGTAAATGGACATCAAATCAGAACCCCTCCCCCATCCCTTGTCCATTCAGCACCTGCTGCGCTTCCTTCCATGGACAATTGGCCAGGTGTATCATTATGGTCAGACTCCCAGAGCGCAGGTGCAGAAGTGAGGTTGGTGAACAAACCTGTCCAAAACCCACGGTGGAGACTTCCATTCCTCACCTGCTGCCCAGGCCTTGGAAAGACTCCCTGTGCCTCCCAACTTCTAGGTGCTTTCCTGCCAACGGGCCTCATCGCAGCTGCTGAACCCACCTGTCCTGACGTGGTGTAGTGGTGCTCTTCAGTGGGGCTACACCTGTGTCTTAGAAGGCCCAAGCAACGGTGTAGAGTGTTTCTCAGAAGAGGTGTGTGTCTGCTCTGATCTATTCTGTGAGGCTGCTGACTATGCTAAATTGGGGGAGAGCCTGGAGCAGGGGAGCAGGTGGGTCTTCAGGGCCCCCCAAAGTACCTACAGTCCACCTCCCTCATGCTTGCCATGGGATATCTGAGGGTCCTTCATTCTTCTTTTTTGTGGTATTGGGGATTATTAAACCCAGGGGTGTGGCACGCCATACACTCTACCACTTGAACCATAACCCACGCCCCTTGTATGTTGTGTTTAGGACAGGGTTTACATACTTTGGGCTAGCTGCAAACTTGCGCCCCTGCTGGCTCTGTTTCGGGAGTCGCTGGTATTACCCACATGAACCATCCACCGGGCTCTACTGAAACACACTGTGGCTTCTAGGCAGGGCAGTTCCCAAGGATCACCTATAAATGCAGGAACTCGTGTCAATGAGCCCACCACCGGCGGGGCAAATGTATTCTCTCCCTCAGTATCTAGTCACTGGGGACCCTCTTACCCTCTTAACACTTCCATGTTTGCGGAAGCCTGCCCAGGCAGTGGACAGCACCTTGTGGGAAGCCGGTCTCCAGGAACAGGGCTGTGAAGTGTTGCAGTAACCCACACAAGTCCAGTAGAGAGCATTGGTTTGTCAGACTTAACTCTGATTGCGGCAGGGCGGACACTGAGAGCAGAGCAAATCCAGCTCGCACACACACAGAGCTGTGCTTCCCCAGGGCCGGGGCTGGTCCATGGCTTAAAAGGCGGGTGTGTTGGGTGTCAGCAGAGCTTGTTAAACATGCTGCTCACCAGGCCCCTCTGTGCAGGGCAGGTCAACTGGGTCAGCCCACCGTGCCCTGTGCTTTGCCTGCACCGAAGGCCCTGACTGGGCTCAGGAAAATGCAGATTCTGCCCCCCTCCCCACCTGAGACCCACACACAGGGAGCTTTGGGGAGCAGAACCTCAGACCAGGATATTTCATGACCTCTGCAGTTGGTGCTCCCCCTGCCTGGGAAGGCTGCCCTGCCTGGGAGCTTCCTGGGAATGTTGCTTCTGGGTCTAGCTCAGGGAGGGATAGGCGGGTGGCTCCAACCTGCCCCTGCCTAGCCACCCCCCCCCCCCCAGGGACTGTGGCTGAGAGCAGAGCTCCCTAGAGAGAAGGGTGCTTTTGTTCCTGAGATGAAGAAAGTGACTCTTTCCTCTCTACACCTGTGCACTGTTGACTGTAATTGGACGACAGATGTTAGCTGAGCTTGATGGCCTCTCCATCTCCACTTGTTGAGGTGCTCGGGGAAGGGGTTCATTTTCTGTCAGGCTGGCACTTCGCTCTTCTCCATTGCTATTAATTTTCCTAGCCCCCTCCCCTTTCCCTATTTATCATTATTTTTTCCCACACCTCCTCAATGTTAGACAAAATGCTGTTTTGTAAGGAAAGCAGGATGATGTTCATAAAATGTGAGCGCATAAAATAAAGTCCGGTCTTTGGGGGAGATCGAGGCTGTTTGAGGGTAGGGATGAAAGAGAGCTGCCTGATGCTCCTCAGCTCCAGACACTTGCTGCACCACACAGATGAGAATCTTAAAAGAGGCAGCGAGAGACACAGAGGGAGAGAGAGCAAGTGAGGGGGGGGGGGAGACGCGCACAAGTAGCTCTCTGTCTTCAATTCCAATAACACTCCGCAGTCCCCGTGAGGCCTGGAGGGACGGGAGGAGAGAAGGCTGTGATCATTATTGTTTGCATTTAGATATTCCAACATCATCTTCCTCCGCTTGTGTCCATTGATGCTGGCAGTGAGCCAGGCCTTGCTTTGGGACATTATGCAATGCTGACATCGGAAGGAGGCAGGGACTGCCTGGTCCTGAGGGAGAAAGCAGACTCGAACCTGTGGGTGGCCTGCCCAGGCCATGAGCTACTGTGAGGCCTTGCTGAGATTCTGCAGGATGCAATGTGACTTGAACCTGGAGCCCCACTCCGAGGAAGGAAGTCCCACCTTCTTTCTTTCCTTCCCAGAGTCCTTTCCCGGTTCTCTTCTCTCTCCCAGCCTAGAGAGCGGGTGCCCTGCCAGGTCCCAGGCCTCTGCCTGACGGGTCCCTCCATCAGTTCAACTCCAGTGTTGTGGGGCTCTGTCCTCCTCCTCTTGGCTGTGTACCCTCCTCTTTTCTGGCTTGTGCATCCCTCTCCCCTCCTTTTCCCTCCACTTCACGCCCACCTCTCCCTTTGTGCTGTAGTGGAGGTCCTCTCTCTCTGCATCTGTCCTCTGGTCCCCCTGAGACCCTAGAGGGCCACACCTGTGTGGGTCCTGTCTGGTGTGAGCGCCCAGTAGGTAGATGATGAGGCAGTGCCATTGGCTGCAGGTGTAACTGGGACATCTCACACGTTCCTGTTGTACAGAGGGGGAAGCTGACGAGCCAGGATGACAGCCCAGCCCCACCCTCTTAGGCACCAACCTGGCCTGGAGAAGTTTTGGGTGGAGAGCATCCCTCCTGCTCCTCTGGGGGAGACAGAGAGTGGGGTGGCAAGAATCATCAGTCATTTGTGGAGAAAAGCTGCAGCTTGGAATGGGAGAAGCTACAACAAAGCAGCCAAATGGTTCAAGTCCCAAAGCCAGCCACTCTGCCCAGAGAGGGCATGGCGGGTGATGGGTGGAACTGCTTCTCAGGATGCCATGGTTGACTCGGCTTTGTGTTTCTTCTTGCTCTGTGTGGCTCCTTCCTGCTGGTAGGAAAGGGGAGACATGGTGGCAGGTCAGATAGACACATGTCACAGAACAGCTGCCTGTGACCTTGTGTCTGGTCTGCTCCGCTCTGTCACTTGCTAGTTTATAGCTGCAGCTCCACAGCAGGAGGGGGGAGGGCAGGCACGGAGCTGCTGGCATGCCCGGCAGATCAACAATGTCCACATGAGACCACACACCTTGTCAGGGTCCCCTGGCTCCCAGGGTCACGGCACCGCCCACCGCCCCTGCTCCAGGGCCCCTGAACCGGCATGGAGCTGTGTCTGTCTTGGATTGGATATCTAATAGCCTCACTTTGGCAGGAACACCACGGTGGGATAGAGAATGGACGTTTCCTTGTGCATCCCCTGTCTTTTTTGTAGTGGCTGATTCTTCCCTCAGCGTGCACCAAAAGTCTGTCCACTGTGTCCAATGGGCAAATTGAACCCAGCCATCTCTCACTCAGATCCCTGCTGTCACCGCTGCCTATGGGCTGCCAACCAGGCCCACAGGAACCCCTGGGAGCCTGAATCTAAGATGGCCACACAACAGCCCCAGGGTGAAGCCGGCATGTGACCCCCCGTGGCTCACAAAGTCCTGCACTGCTTGACCCCTGCCGGGTCCTTGGTCCCCCAGCCTCCCCTCCTTGCCTCTGCTCCTCCTACCAGCCCTCTGGAGCCTCCGGATTCAGGCTAGTACCGACTCCCTGAACTGATTGCTGGTGACACTCCGCTCTGGGTCGCCTTGCTGACTGCAGTTCTTCACAAAAGCTTGTCAGAGAGGCTCTGAGACTCAAGTAAGGCTGCCAGGCCAGTGGACAAGCCTTGAGAAGCAGGTTCATGGTTTCTTAAATGTCCCCAGGGGGGCGCTCTCAGCATGGTGCCTATTCTGCCCCAGCCTCCCAGGACAGGGTCTGGGCAAGGGCCTGATGGGAGGGGGTGCCAGCAGAGGAGGTGGAGTGACAGACATGACTGGGAATGGGGAGGGGCTGCCCACGCAGTGCCCGTCAGACCTGGGGAGGGGAGGGCTGAACGGGGCTGCAGGGTGGGTCCGCTGTGCTCAGGGCCAGCACCCTGGGATGGGGGCGGGGAGGGGGAGGCAGGATAAAAACAAATGTCCAAGGAGAAAAAAATCAAATTAAACAGTAAAGCAGATCATATCAAATGTAAAGGGAGGAAGAGAATAAATGGGAGATGCTGGAATATGAGCAGACAGAGTGGCCATAAAACATGAGAGAGGCCACGGAAATGGAGAGGAAATGGAAAATGGGTTTTACAAGTTAAAATGTCTGCCCAGAATTCTGAGACGCCCTGTAATGAGGCTCTTGGCTTCAGCCACCCAGGACCCATCCTGGGGACACGGCTCACCCACAGAGGGAGGTCCTTTTGGGTTATATTTAACCCAGTTTGTTATTGGGTCTTGGGGGTTCACTGCTGTTCCCTCTCTGCCTACATAAGCAGCAGCCAGGAGGCTGGACTTCCGGGGTGAAGGAGCTCCCAGTGTGAGCCACTGGTCATGGAGGCTGGACTTCCGGGGTGAAGGAGCTCCCAGTGTGGGCCAC